GGGGTACCCCACTATTAGAGGGGGGTAGGGGGTGTATGAGGGGTACCCTTTCTGAGCTTCTCAAATTGCAGATTTTGATAGAGTTTTAATAAGGGAAAATGAAAGAATTTTCCTAGAGAGTTTTTGGAAATTCTAGGAAAGCTGTTGCTTTGGGAGAGCATTGGTAATCAATCAGAAGATCAGTTTCACCATGGTAAGACAAGAAAATATTGAAAAGGCAAAAAGAACAAAACTAATTAAACACACATATATATTTGAATAATTGTATTTTTCCTGGGGGGACAGGGGGTAGACTAATAGGGGGGGGTTTCAGCCAAACAAATTTTTTATTAGAGGGTGGTGACTGTGGAAATTCATAGTTCAAATTAGTTTATTATAGGGGCCTGAACGCTGGGTAGACTAATAGGGGGGGGTTCCCTAATCCTAGGTTGACATTAGTTAGTTCACCTCACCTCCCTCACTTCAATAGAACGCATCAGCAGATCATGCAAGTTCCAACCCGTGAAAAAAGTATCCCGGCAAGAGACCCCAAACAGTGTGTGTGTGTGTTAACACCTGTTCCTAAGGTTTGTGCCTAGTCGGTTTCTAGAGGGCTGGTTGCTCTTGGCCTTGCTACTAGGAACTAGAGGTTTCTAGCGCCCCAGAGCTCGCCACTACTTGAGCACGAAGAGGCAGGGATGCGGAAAAAAGCAGGGGCGTACGGCTCGTCATACCCACCGTACGCAACGAAGCTATGGTATGACGAGGGAAGGGTGGACTGATCATCCACCTGTACCTGCTTAACTTTTAAGCTTTGCTGGAGCAGTCTTGCATAAACATTGTTCAACGATACAATTGCGCCGACTCTTTCACCTTTCCGTTCCATCGCCATTTTCTCCTGGGAATTGAGTTAACTGAAAACCAATGTCAGAGTGTGAACCGCTCAGCCGTCCCACTTGGGTGCTGGGTGTGATCCCCGTGACAGGGGCGCTGAATTCATGCTGGAAATCGTGTAGCTGACTTATTCTGTCCACCACTTCTGGAGTTTCATAACAGCTTTCGTTTCACCACTGAAGTAACTGCCTTTCGAGCCGCCGGGCTAATACGGTTACCACCATTCGATTACTGAACCTTCGGATCATCTCGCATGCTGCTAAGTATTCGCTTGTCTACGTCATGCTGCTAAGTATTCACCGGCCAGGTTCGGTCGACTGTGACTTTCGGACGGCTTCGGGTTTGCTCGAGGCTTTAGGTTTAGGTAAAGAGTTGCTCGAGGTCTTTCAGGTTTCAGGTGAAACTGTTGCACCTTTTGCGACCGAGCGGGGCGAGGGTTCGGCACGTGAACAACTAAGTAATCTTTTCTGGTTCTTTTGGTTTTTCTTTCTTGCTGTTGCTTTTCGTTTTCTTGAGGCCTTTCTTTAGGTTTCAGGTGCCTTTCAGACGGGTTGCGCCGGCCCAAATCGGCTTTGCTTGAATGCCAATGATGGCAATGCCTTCGGGTTTTTTCCCTCCCTACCCCAGGCCTCTGTTGCTCTCCCACCCGCTATTCGGGCAACAGAAGGAAATCGCACTCAACACACTTGTGTGTTGGTGCCTTTCCTTTTGTTTCTCCTATCCTATTGCTAGCTACCCGAGCGGTTTAAGACAAAAGTCCCGCTCGCGAACTGCTTTCATTTAACTAAGTGGGCCTCGTCACTATACCTATCTTTCTTTCCTGCCCTCTTAGTCTGCTCTTGTTTTGTTTTCTTTGTCTGTCTTTCTCCGGCTCTTTAGGTGACTAGTAGCCTTTTGGAACGCCAATATTGGCGTTATGCGTGCAAAGCCGTTGCCAACAGACAGAGCGCCGAACGCGGCATCCTGTGCGTGTTAATACCTGTTCCTAAGGTTTGTGCCTAGTCGGTTTCTAGACGGCTGGTTGCTCTTGGCCTTGCTACTAGGAACTAGAGGTTTCTAGCGCCCCAGAGCTCGCCACTACTTGAGCACGAAGAGGCAGGGATGCGGAAAAAAGCAGGGGCGTACGGCTCATCCACCTGTACCTGCTTAACTTTTAAGCTTTGCTGGAGCAGCCTTGCATAAACATTGTTCAACAATACAATTGCGCCGACTCTTTCACCTTTCCGTTCCATCGCCATTTTCTCCTGGGAATTGAGTTAACTGAAAACCAATCTCAGAGTGTGTGTGAGGTCTAGAGGTGAGTCTAGAGGTGTAGTAGCAGAAAGTCTAGGGGTCCAGAAGGTGGAGATCGTGGTGATGGTGGTGAGTGAGTGAGTGAGTGAGTGAGTG